CTGCCCAGATCTCCTTCTTCAGGCTAGGTCCCCCTCAGCGGGGAGGGAATATGCCAGCCAAACACTTTTCGGCTTGTAAACCATCATTAAGAAGCTAATAAACTTGATTTCCCAGAACTCTGCCCTGGGGCACCCTACTTCCCCAGGAAGAGGCTGGCCCCAGTCACAGTGGGTGCCAAGGATTTAGGGCACTTGGATTACAGGCCCATGTAAACTGTGCCCACAGCAGGTGAACCTTCACTGCCACCTGCCACCACATGCCACCTCACTCTGGGGCAGCAAAAGACCTTCATGTTGAAGAACAAGGCATGCTGGGAGTCAGAGCCAGGGCTCACACGTGGCCTGTGGCCTGTGGCCTGGCTCCCCTGTCTCGGTTTCCTCTGCTATGAGACGGGGTGACATTAACTACCAGGATGGCAGGTCCTGCTCATATAATGCCTGATCACAACCAGAGAATTCCCCCTTGGCTGAGCCTCACCACCATGACCCAGGCGGCCTATGAGCCAAGAGCTGCGTGACAAGAATTCTTTCTGACAGGTGGAGAAAAAAAAAAAAAAAATCTAGACTCAATGATGTTAAATCAGTGGTCTAGCTCCCATGGGCTGCAACCAGCGTGGGTTCTGAGTTTTTTATATTTCAAAGATTTACTTTGATTATAATTTTTTTCTGTGTGTGTATGGGTATTTTACCTGCATGCCTGCACGCCACAGGCATGCAGTGCTTACGGAGGCCGGGGAGGGTATTGAGTACCCTGGACATAGAATTACAGATGTTTGCAAGCCACCACGTGAATGCTGGGAAGTCATCCCGCGTCTTCCGCAAAAGCAGCTAGCGCTCTTAACCGCTGAGCCATACCTCCCTCTCCACCCTACCGCTCTCAGAAGCATGAAAAGCCAAGCGGCGAAAGGACATGTCTGGAGTGCCGCCTCCCTCTTAGCAGTCTGGGTGCAAAGACCTTTGGCTCAGGAAGCCCTCCTCCACCATCGCTGTGAGTGGCAACACCTACCTCTTGGGTAGCACTTCTCAGCTTATCAAAATGCTTTCACAAACACTATCTCATTAACTGAGGCAGGGTGAGGCCGCTGTCATTATGCAGCCCGGCTGATAGCGCCCCTCAGGGCTCAGCTGAGCCTTCAGTTTTCAGTCCAGCGTCTACCCAGAATCCCACAGTGGGTTCCCCACCCTTCAGGGATCCACAGGAACAGGTAGCTCCCCTACACCAGCTGTGTGATACTGTGGACACTCGGCCATCGCCGAAACTGAGGAGAAGGGCTCTGAGACATACTCACTCCCAGCCCCCAGGGGTTCTCTACCCCAGACACAGCTCCTTGCAGCATTCACATGCTTTCTTATCTGACACATCGCAGCCTAGATGGCAGGGTTTCTCCTGTGATCCAAGCCCATGCCATGTATAGCAGCTTTGTGCCAAGTACAAGAAATCTCACGACTGTGATGATGGCTCCCTTCAGTGTCCCCATCACAGCCACGCCCAGGCTGACTATGTCCACAGGTTACCATCAGAATCCTCACCTCATAATCCCCTACTGTACAGCTGGAGAAACTGAGGCAAGTCTACTTAAGCGACTCCCACCCTACTGAGCGCTCCCACAGACCCGAGTCTGCTGGCCTCAGGATTTTGCCTCCTGACCCTTGTGTTTGGAATCACCTTCTGTCCTTCTGTCCTTCTGGCGAACCATGGTACCTACCATCTCACACCCTACCAGAACTCACTAGGCTTGAACCACTATGCGGGGGGGGGGGGGGGGGGGAGGGGAGGACGACAGCGAAGCTGAAACTGCCTTCCAGCAGCTTCTGAACCCCAAATGCTCGCATCTGGGTCCCTGAATAAATCTGGTGGTACCCAGCAACTCTTCGTAGCTCCCCGAAGATGAGGAGATAGGTCTCCCTTATGCTTGTCTGCTGCCTGGGGAGGCCAGGGAGACTTTAGGGCAGTCCCGGAAAAGCCTTCATTCTTCCCATCAACAGAGCAGGCGTGGCTGGCTCCTCTTGTGAGGTTGCCTGTGTGCCAAGAGCTGCCCGGCCTGGCAGCGTCCCTGTCCCAGGGCCATGCTGGCCGCTGAGGTCAGCCAGCACTCGAGAGTGCTGAGTCCTGTCACTCCTCCCCCAGCCTGTCTGAGCTGGATAGGAAACTAGGAGCTGCTCCCAACTCTGCAGATGGTGAGGTCACTTTGGAAATCCCCTCAGGCAATGGGGTAATACCTAGGCAGGATCCCGTGAGTTCCAAGGGACATAGGGAATTGAGGTTGGGGTGAGCTGCTTCAAGAACACACAGCACCCATAGGCTGTGTGAGGGACCCAGGCCTAGAAGACATCACCAAGTCTCCTGAACACAAGCATGCACACTTGTGGCCCCTTGACTTCTTCCTGCTGTCATCTGGTACCTACATGAGACACCGCTTATATAAGGAATGTTGCTTGAGCGATGGCTGCTCTTCCATAGGTGCTGGCTGATTCCCAGCACCTATGTGGCAGCTCACAACTCTCTGTGACTCCAGTTACAGGGGAGCCGATACCTTCAGCATCAAGGTATCTTGATGTGCCAGCATCAAGCACACACATGCTGCAGAGATGTACATGCAGGCAAAACACCCACAGACACAAACATGTAGGACACTGTCTAGACCTCAGGTCACAGGAAAAACATCTGTGCGCCCAGAGCAGGGCTGAGACCCCAGTGGCCCTTCCGCACTGGTCTGCGGAACCACCCGTTCTTTCAGGAGTCTCCTCCTGGGCAGCAGAGTGTATACCAGGGGTAGGAGTGGGTCCTGACCAGAATGAGCAGTGAAGCCGGGGTCACAGGATTGGGGTAGGTGGCTTCTGGGTGTTTATGCCTTCAGAGGGACATGGGGAGGAACACCACAGCGTATATCCAGTTGAAAAGCTCTGGTCTCTGGCCGATTTTTGGGGTCTCATACAGCCCAGACTGGCCTTGAACTTACTCTGTTGCTGAGGGTGACAAACTCCGGTTCTCCCGACACTACCTGCCAACTCTGGGATTTCAAAGCTCATACCACCAGTTCTGGCTGCATATCAGGCTTTTATGGTAAAAAGGCCAAAATCAACCAACCAACTTGAGACACCACACACACCTCCCTTCTCACCCCACCAAGGCTCCCAAGTAAGAAGTCCAAAACCAGACAGGACAGGGGGAGATGGAAATGTTAGTTGCTGGAAGAGAGGACCTGGCTGCCTCTTCTGGCCCTGCCCTACCCAAAAAGCAACACTCCCACCTCCATTCTCAGAGAGCCAGGAGTGTAGCACAGGAGCCCAACTCAAAGGTTTGGTCATGCCTTGGGGACTCTGTCGACGGAAGCCCCTTTAACAGCCATCACCCCTCACCATCACTCAGCAACACCACAAGAGGGCCTGGGCCCACCCTGGCCAGGATTCCTGCCACCACAGGGCAGTCCACCCTGCTGGAAGGAAAGAGAGGGAAGCCACTGGGAATCAGGAGACCCGTTATTCCCTGGATATTATTTTCCCAGTGTAAATAACTCGAAGAGTTAGTTCTGTGTTCAGAAGGAAAATTCCAGTTGGTCACATGGCATTCCCCCATCCTTGAGGCCTCAGCTTGCCCAGCTTCAGGGAACTCTGTGGGAAGATCTTGGTCCTGCCCTTCCCCCACCCCAGGGACAGGCGGGCTCTGGGTTACTGTGGCTCACCCTGCGTTTGCCCTGTGTGTGAAGCCACCTGGGAGAAGCACACAGGGCCTGTGCTGCTGTGAGAGGCCCCTGTCCCCGGCATCTCTTCCACAGGGCCAGGGGCCAGCAGGTAAAAGATAGACTCATGGCACCAACACAGGACACTTGCCTGGGCAAAACCTGCCCTCACAGCTTAGCTTCCATCTTATTTAGATTCATCCTGGTTCTTCCCACAGGCCCTGGAGAAACTGAGGTATGGATAGGAATTCACAAGATGTACCCTAGTGGGCGGGGGTTACAGCATAGCTTCTCGGTATCGACTTTTGGGGGGTCCAGTTCTGTGCTGTGGAACTGACTGACGGTAGGGGCATCCTCGGTCTCCACAAACACGCTAGTAACAGACATCTGCTTCCTTCCCAAAGGGACAGACAAAGGTCTCCAGGCATTGCCAGCTACCCCGAGCACTGCTTCTCCCTGGCCCACAGCCACAACAGCACGACACAGATGCTGGGGACAGTATTCCACCAGCAGACGTCACACACACCGGAACCCCCAACCCAGCCGGTTGAGAAACTACAGCTACTCCACATGCGGGGCAATCACTCAGATCCACCTCACCTTCGCTCTCTAAGGTCCACCCCACAGATTGATTCCCTCGCTCCGTGTTTCCTGGAGCTGGCTCAAGGCATGGACCTAGGTTCCCTTCTGCCTGGGGTGGGGGTAGAGACCTGGGCCCTACAGGCCCTACAGCTTGCTAACCTCTAACCCAATGCAGAAACATCAGCTGGGGGCCCAACTCCCCAAGCCCCTCCGTCTGTAAGGCAGGACTCCTCACAATTTCTGAGCTCTGGTCCACTCTGGCGGTGTGAGCCTCCGCCAGGCCCCATCCCTGCACCTGTTCCCACCTCGGCGAGGCTCCACGCACAAACTACAGCCCCGGCGCTCTGGGAGTTCACGCGGGAGAAGGGGGCTAGAGCCTTAAGAAAGTCTAAAAGGGATTTCTGGGTGGAAGGCGGAGCCGCACGTTCCAACACTTGGCAGTGCCTTCTCTTCCTCCCTGGGCTTTTAAACTTCTGCGCAGACCACGCGCCTAGACTTCTGGTGACCGTGTCCCGGGGAACCCCTTAGGCGTCCTGATCCCGGCAGAGGCCAAGGACCTCCGGGTGGGATCCAGCGGTCCCCCGGGAACAGTGGGAGTCCAGCCTCGGCCTCCAGGGCGCTCCCCGGGGCGCTCCGCTCCCCACCCTCCCCGCGGCCGTCCCGGGCGGCCCCGTGACTCCCTAGACACCCGCGGCCTAGCGGACCGGAGCTCTGCCGCGCCCAACGCCCGGTGCTCACCTCTCGGAGGCCCCACGTCCCGGGAAGCTGCCGCGAGCGGAGCGGGCAGCGGCGGGGCGGCGGCTCCACCGAGGCTGGGTGCCCGCGCTCCGCCTCTTCCCTACCTGCGCGAGGGCGCGGGGGCAGGGCCTGGGGTGGGCGGGGCCTGGTAAAGGCGGGATTTCTTGCTCGTGGGCGGTACCTCAGAGGGGCGTGGTCGGCCCGCTGCTTCTGCCTCTATCAGGCTCTGGCTGCTCCTCCACTTAAGGGTACACATAAGCACTTGTCTCCCACACAGGTCTCGGGTTGGATCCCCAGCAACACATGCACACACACACATACAGAGAACAACCCCACAAAACCCGCCCAGTCTCCCCTTCTTTTCCTCATGCAACCCCTGGCTCCTTCGACTCTTAAATTTCAGCTTGCTTCCTCTGCAGCTGCGCCTCCCTCCTCTGCGAAGCCTTGATCCTCTCTAGCGGCTGTCCTTCCTTTCTCCTTTAGAATGACCTCTCCTCAGCCCTGGCGTGCCCTCTCGGCCAGACCGGATCTTGCTGGAAGCTGGGTCTTGTTCCCCTAAGCACCCAGCACAAAACACAGCAGAGCAGCCGCAAAGGGGCTGGCAGAGGGGTAGTGTGCTTGGTGCCCCCCGGCGGGCGGCTGGTTCTCAGGACTCCCCCTTAGGACAAAGTGGGCATTGCTCTGCAGCCAAAGGCACAGGCTTCCTGCTGGGGCCGAAAGCTGGTTCACACAGGAGCCTGCAGCAAACGAAGAGAAAGGCCCTCCACGTCTCAGAGTGGCGGTCAGCGGGTGGCCCAGGGTCAGGCCTTAGGCACTCCAGCAAGTAGCAACACCTGCCAGGCCCTCTGGCTTCCTTTATTGACCGTTAACAAGACAACTATAAACGATTCAAGCTAACAGGATATCCTCAGGAGCTGGGGGTTCAAATCCTGACCTGCCATTGACTATCTCTGTGGCCTTGGACAAATCCCAAAGCCTCCTGGGCCTCAGCTTCCCCCTCTCTGAGTGGGGGCGGTAACAGGAAGTCCCTGTGGGGCACATGGCTCCACCTAGCAGCTGCTGTTATTTTTGCTATTATTAGTACCGTTGAGGGCAGGACCTCCGATTCTGAGCCGAAGGCTCTTGCCTGCAACCTACAGCTCTAGCCACGCTGGGCTCATGGGAGCTGGGCTGTGCTTTCTTGTCTCCCTCCTGGACCCAGAAACCCCTCCCTTAACTCCGCCCTGGGAGGTGGCATCTTGCATTGCTCTTACCCACTTCTGGGTAGGGTACCACTCTTCACCTTCACACCCCTGGCCCCGTGCTAAGGTCAAGATTTATGACACCCCATCCAGCAGCACTCCTACGCTCTCGCCTAGAAGCGTGCACGGGACCAGCCCAGCTCCTAAACAAGAGCGGCAGCAGGAGAAGGGCATGGGGTGTCCCTCACCAGGCTCCAGGGGCCTGGCTTGCCTCCCGTTCGGGACTTGATGTGGAAACTTGTGGCAGGAAGGGAATGGCATAGGGGTGTCTGGAGTCCCTGTCCTCAGCCCCAGCACCACCAACAACCTCAGTTTTTCTCTCTGGGGGCCTGGCCTGGCCGGAGAAGCAGGGTTTGGAGCGACTCACTCCAAACAGGAGTGCAGCGGCGCAGGTTTCAGAGTTGAGGCAGGACTCTGGCCTCTCGAATTGCTCTTAACCACTTCAGTGCATGTCACAAACTTGGGTTCGGTAGAGACTGAAGAAACAGAAAGGGGAAGTCTGTCATGGCAGAATGAATCAATACCAGCAAGGCAGAGACAAGCGGATTTCTGGGAGTTTAAGGCCAGCCTGGTCTACACAGAGAAACCTGGTCTCAAACACCCCCAAACCCAAAACAAACAGGCAAAAACTAACAACAGAAGAAGAAGAAAAAGAAGAAGAAGAAGAAGAAGAAGAAGAAGAAGAAGAAGAAGAAGAAGAAGAGGAGGAGGAGGAGAAAGAGAAAGGGCCTTCTTGACTCTGGGCTCTGGCTGACTGCTCTTTGGCTGCTCTGGGCTGTCATGTCAGCCTGGCCCAGGGGGTCACAGTGGCCTATGCCCAGATCTGCTCCAATCACCTGGGAAGCAGCTCATTGCTCTGGATATCACCGCTGGTCTCACTTCCTGCTTCCTGAGTTTTCTCCCGGCTGGATCCTGTAACAGCTGCAGAGTGTATGGAGCAGGAATGAAGGGAGACACAGACACACACACACACACACACACACACACACACACACACGCATGCACGCACGAATCCGTTCTGTGACCAGACCACTCTTGCCAGCCGCCTGTTTTGTTGTATTTGCTTACTCGAATTTTAGAATTTGGAGCAGGAGGAATAAGTCAGTCCGAAGCATTTGCTGCTGTTGCAGAGACCCAGGCTCAGTTCCTAACACCCGCATGGGGGCTAGCAGGCACCTGAGACTCTAGCTCCAGGAGCTCTGATGCCCTTATCTCACCTCCACAAGCAGGCACACGATACGCGCGTACATGCAGGCAAAATGCGCATAAAAATAAATAAAACAAAACGTGTGTGTATGCATGCACTTGCCCAGGTTTGTGTGCACCACACGCTTGGAAAAGAGCACCAGAGCCCTTGGAGCTCGGATGACTTCCTATTAGCCAGGGTGACAAATCTCTCCTCCCTGTCCCCAGTCATGGAAAGGCATGGCTGCAGCAAAGGCAGAGAATAACCCCCAACCTGAGAGTTGTTTCTTCAAAGCAAATTCAGGGAGCATTTACCGGGCACTCAGCCCATCCTGGGGATCGATGCAGAGGGCAGCGAAAAAGCCAGCCCTGGGGGGTTAGGGGCATGTGAGTTCTGTGATGTGATGTGAGCACCGTTCTGTGTGTCCCATTCTGGGAAGGAGCATCAGGCAGAGGGAGGCACTGGTGGACGAGGGGACATCAGCTGCCTCTTGATGCTGCTCCAGGGCTGAGCTGGGCCATGTCCTCACCACGGCTGGAAGCTGGGCCCCTGGCCTCACTACTGAATGGCCAAGGACAAGGATATGCGTGGCGATGCTTCACTGAGAATCCTGGCATGCTGCCCAGCCCTGGAGGTGCAGAGGGACCACATACTCAGCTGCAGTAAGCCACCTGTCCTGCCTGGCGTGGGAGAGTGAGAAACAGGTTGCTTACACAGTGCAGCTGTTAAAAGCAATGAGGCAACTCTGTGTGCCGATAAGAAGTTATCTTCAAGATGTGCCAAGTGGAGAAACAAAGAGCAGGGTACAGACACTACAATCCATAACTTAAAAAAAAAAAAGAAAAGAAAAAGAAATAGTATCTTGCTCTGTAGAACAGACTGGCCTCGAGTTTACTTGGTTCTTTATCTTGTCTTTCAACAAAGTCTCATCATGAAGCCCTAGCTGGCCTGGAACTTGTTATGGAGACCAGTTTGGCCCCAAACTCATGGAGATTCACCTGTCTCTGCCTCCTGCGAGCCGGGATTAAAGGCTGTGTCACACGAACAGGCTTTTTAAAAGTTGTATTATTTTAATTTCGTATGTATGAGTGTTTTGCCCGAATGTATACCTATACACCATGTGCCTGCCTGGGCCTGCAGAGGCCGGAATAGAGGGAGCATTGAAGTCCATGCAATTGGACTTACAGACAGTTATGAGCTGTCATGTTGGTGCTGGGACTAGAACCCAGGTCCTCTGAAAGAGCAGCCAGTGCTCTTAACTGCTGAACCCTCTCTCTAGGCCCCTGGAGAGGGGTTTCTTGTACCTTCTACACCTCCCAAGTGTGGGGTGACAGAGAGCCACCATGCCTGGCTAAAATCTATTTATCTCTTTGGGGTGTGTTTTGTCTGATGTATGCATTTGTATGCATAGCACCAACTCAACCCTCGACAGAGACCTATGCCCTGCACGCCTTCAGACTTCTCTCAAGACTTGCCTTTGAACTCTGAAATGAGCAAGAGCCCAAGCCATTGTGCATGCCTGTAATCCCAGCACTCAGGGAAGCAGAGGCAGACGGATCCCTGTGAGTTGAAGGCCAACCTGGTCTACAGAGTGAGTTCCAGGACAGCCAGGGCTACACAGAGAAACCCTGTCTCGAAAGAATGAAAACAAACAAAAAACAGCTCTGAAAAGATTTGGATGAAAGGATCTTGAAAGCAGTTTGACAGCAACCATTCACGGTTTCCTCTGATCCCTGTAAGCTGAGATTTTGTGTGTGTGTGAATGTATATGTGTGTACCTGCACGCTTGCGTGCATGGCTGTGAGTGTGCCTGTGTGTGTTGTGTGTGTGTGCGTACGTGTAAGCTGAGGACAATCTCGGGTGTTGTTTCTCAGGCTTTGCTCACCTTGTTTTGAGACACGGTCCCTCATTGACCTGGGACTCACCAGTTAGGCTAGGCTGGCTGGCCAGTGAGCCCCAGAGAGACACCTGTCTCCCCTTTCCCACTGCTGGGGTTACAAATGTGCGCTGTCATGACTGGCTTTCTTCTTCTTCTTCTTTTAAATGTGGTCCGTGTTTAGGTTGGGAGAGATTCAGGGTTGAGGAGCACAGTCTGGGGGCAGGGTCCCAGGTCGGAGGCCAGGTCCTTTCCGGCCATCGTGGTGAATAATTTTTGTGCTTCACAAGGTCCTTCTGGCAGAGCTCGGGACACACTGGTTTGTGTGAAGGTGGAGAACCATGGGAGGGTTCTAGGGTTCTAGATAAGAGTCTAGGGGAGAGGAAGGACCCCAGCAGGATGCAAGAAGGATGATAAAGATGTCCCCTCTCCTCACAGTGTGGCTGACACAGTCTCAGGTACACTCTGGGAAATCAGGCTGGAGTGGAACCCGGGGAAGTTAAACTCAAGAGGAAAGAAGGGGAAAAAAAAAAAACAAGGTCTTTGGGCAACAGCAGCTGATATTAATAGTGCAGAGTCTCCACCTAGTGGCCATCTCCAGTACTGCATGGAGGAATCCACATGTCCCCTGGACAGAAAACCTCATACTGCCACCTCAAGGTTAAAGGTATAAAGAAGGGCACGGGCTAACTCCTGAGAGGCTTGTTCAGTGAGATAAAAAAACCTCTGTAAATCTCTGAACGTTTCCTTGAAAGAACAGTGGCTGGGAAGGGCATCC